AGAAGAAAGGTGTGGCAGGGAAGAATTCTGTGGGAGCTTAGAATCAACTGCCTATAACCCACTTCTAGCCTGTAGAAGTCCCTTGCCCTTAAAAGAAGTCACTAGCCATATTTTTTCTCAATAATTAATTTATTAATTAGTCCAGCCATCTAAGCTATTTATACCACTGATTTCAATGGAGTGAATTAGTTGCTTCAATTTAAGCGTCTAATCACTTGTGAGAGTCCAAGCCCAAGAATTCTGGAGAAGGTTCTCGGTGGAGACCAAAGGCATAACATCAACATGTAACTATTAACCTTTGTTTCACGTCTTTTTTTAATATTTATTTTTACTTTCACACATAATAGTTACTAAGGACACTTCAAAACCACGAGAATGTGGAATGGCAGGGGGATTTTTTCTGTGAAACTGCCTCCTTTAAAGAGCCTCTGACTTATTTACATAAACACTTGGCATGTTACTTCCTTTCATTGTCATCCAAGTGCGTTTCAGGTCTTGAGTCATTGAGGTGGGTCCAGCTCCACAAAGGAAGCACCTTGTGGGTGGGTGATGAATCTATTCTGTTGAATGTCCAGTTTTCTGTGCAGTGACACCCACACTTGTGTCATTGTCTCACACTTGTGTCTTGTGACTTTCATGAAATTGCCTTTAGTCAAGCTTGCCTGATGACTTAGCTTCATTGTGAGCTACACAGAAGTGCCAAGTCACAGATACGGAGGAGTTTTCTGAGAAGGGAATAATGTGTAATCTACAGACCGTCCATTAGAGACAAATTCTCTGATATACTCACTGCCTTTGTTTCCTGTTAGTGATAACTGGGGAGTGAGAGGCACAAAAAGGGAAAGAAAGGGAAGGGCAAAAGTTTCTACTCTTCTACTAAAAGTAAAAAGCTTTTAATGGGGGAAAGTTACTATACAACTCATAGCAACAAGAGCAGAGATGGAAAATGTGGAAGAATTAAAATTGCTTTCCAGAATTGCCTCTATTGTACTCATATGCTCCTGGCTACTAGCATGAGATTCCCATCCTGCTTCTTTACAACAATATCATACCCTTCCCAGAGCAGATAAATTTGCAATTAGCAGATCAACACTGCCTAGCTATGATATGAAAGTGGTTCCCAAGCAAAATAAGGGGATGGAATTCAGTGTTAGCTGCAGAAGATTTTACTGCTTAGATTTTGGCCCATGTATCTCTCTGAAGATTTAATTTTTCCCCAAAGTAAAACATGTATATCAGCATGGCCCCATGTCTCCTCAGCCCATTTCTGGGAGACGTCTGCCACCATGAATTCCAGACAACATAAGCAAGCCAAGCACGAACACACCTTCGCACCGAGGAGGTGGCTGGCTCCAGGTTCCCGACACTGTGCAGTTGATTAAAGCATTCCCAACGAGTGAATAACCAGGATTACAGCTATAGGATACAGATGCTCCATAGGAAAAAGTGTCAGAGATGTTGCCTTTGAGATTCCCGTTGGTGATGTTTGGAGGACGGAGACACTTCACAACTGGAAAGTCAGGGGGAGACAAATGACAAGGAGAGACGTGAGGATCCTGATGGACTGCCAGAGAGTAGCTAAGGCACCGTACCTTTGCAGCCTTTATTGTTCCCTTTTAAATTCTTCACCTAGGCTCAACAACTGATTTCGTAACCCTGTAACTCTATCAGGCTTCGGAAATGGCTATAAACTCGATCTTATCCTTATCACTCATTCTGTAGTAGAGGACTCAGGTTTAGTCCTTATACAAACCTTTCCCTGAGACAAGTCATGTTAAATGTCCTTTCTTCTTAGCTCTCTGCAACAAAAACACACCTTGACAGACCGGAGAAGGACGGCTCCAGGCTCCAGACTCTGTGCAATAAATGGATGCTGTCCCAACGAGGGAGAAGCCACGGTTGCAGCGGTAGTGCACAAGTGCTCCTACATTGAAAGTGTCTGAGAAATGACTGCTGTGTTCCCCATTAGCAATGCTTGGAGGAGGCAGACACTTCACTACTGAAAGAGGAGAGGGAGAAAGTGGGAAGGTGACATTAAGTTGTAAAAAAAAGTGATAACAAGAGAGTAAAGAAGTGCAATTAACCCTCTTCACTGCAAAAAGCAGGACGGGCTGGGAGGACGAGTTAGCGTTTAATAAATCGTGCCTCTTCTTAAAATAGACCTACCTGGCTTCACTGTGGTATCAGGATGATGATAGTGTTCTGCCACTCCATCTAGATGCAGCATTAAGAGTTTAAAATACACATTTGGTTGAGTAAATACAATGCACAATTTTACCTTCATTTTCCATCACTCTGCCTTTATATTTCCAGCAAAAATTCCACTCCTCTTGGCTAGTAGTGTCCTGCCATGAAGCTACAAATGTCTCACTTTCAGGAAACGAAGAGAACACGGATTATAGATTGCAACAAGCAGGGTGAGAAAAGTGCAAATCGTGCTTATACTTAGAGCGTTACCCCAAACCTGGTTTATCTCCTGTGTGAGAAGAGAGGCATAAATAAAGGAACAACTTCTGGTTTCTCCTTAAAGCAGTTGGAGCAAACAGGAGAAATAAAGTCAACTTTGGCTTCAGTGCGTGGGTAGGAGCAGTCGGGGAGGAATCTGCGATGCTAACGAGTTAGAGTGCTGACACTTACCCTGCTCACAGACAGGTACAGGTGGATCCCATGTTTTATCAGCTTGGCACTGGGCTGTGCGACTACCTCGCAAGGTGAAGCCTTTCTGGCACTTAAAGACAACGGTATCTTTGTATGTGTAGGGATATTTAAGAACAGAGACTCTCCCATTCTGGATCTGTGGGACTGGACATACCACCTCTGAAAAATAAATTCATTATCTCAAAGAGGAAGCCATATGTATGCTGTAAATGATGCGTATATAAAGTCCATCCTTTACGTGCCACTGCTCAGAGGAGTTTCACAGGTAGCATTTGGAGACTCACAGAAGAATAATTTCAAGAATTGTGGGCTTTTTACTTCCTTTAGGTACCCTAAAGGGCTACCACATTATTGTATATAAACATGGGTTTGTGCCTATAAACAGAATAATGCAAATACATTCCAATAAATACATTAAATGGCGTAGAAATCTGTAAACACTGTTAGTCGTTCTCCTGACTGCTTTGTCATACCAAGCTCATGCCTACCAAAGCAATTCCGTCTGAAGGAAAGACCGATCGCAATGATCAGCCCCTGCAGAAAAGCCTTGGGGTTCAGATGTCAGTACAGTATTTGGAAGATCCCAGTTGAATTTTACTCAACATCCCACTCTTCTACTGCAAGGCACGTTTCTTCTTTAATTATTATTTATGTTTGTGAAACAAAAGGGACAAGTCCCTGCAGGCATCTCACAACTCTTCATTCTACATAACTCTGAAAGATCAAAAGCTAGCTTCTGGAAGATTTTTAGAAGAAACCAAACAAGGAAGCAAAACAAAACAATCCTAGAGGAACATAATGGTTAAAAAGTCTTATTCCTTGAAGTTCTGCTTGTTTTAAGGAAATGCCAGTTTTTCATTTTAAGGGCTTAATTTGACAATTCTGGGCCAGATCTAGTTGTGACCTACTTACTCTGACAAATGGGAAGAACACCACTCCATGCGACCTCTGCTCCAAAGATCTCACATTGCCTACGAGACCGTCCAACCAGTCGGTGCCTGGAGTTACACAGAAAGATATTTCAGTTGATACCGAGTCATTCAGCTTGGATTTTGCCTCCCACCCTGACACTACCCCAGAGGTTTCCTTCTGCAGCCTCTTGATTCTGGCTAGTCACAGAGGTCTTTCTGTTGCTTTGACACATGGGAATGAAGGACATCAAGTTCCTTCTTCCCATATCCAAGAGGAACAGCAACGATCTCAAATTACTCAGGGTTGGATTGGTCAGGTGCTAAATCAGGACTCAGACCCAAGTGATTTCCAAACCACTGGAGCCTCCTTGCAGCATGCGCTTGCTCGCAATCTCGGTTCCTGCTGGGTGGCCATCTGAGAAGGCAGACTGAAACCAAAGTTTGCAAAGTAATATATTGAGCACAGGCAACGAAAAATGAGAAACACTCCTCCTTTTCCTGAGCAGGCGACTACGGCATAACTGGAACCAAAATACAGATTCTGGCTTGCTGTTGGAGAACGGCCCACGCAGAGGAGTGGGCTCTGCGCCTTTACTGTAAGGTGCCTGACACCGAGCTCAGAAAATGAAGTCAGCAAAGGCAGCGTGGGACTCACCCTTCTTCACACGTGTAGCTCACGGTTGACCCAAAAAGGAGATCTGTCAGAACAACAACTCTGCCATTCTTTGGTGTTTCTGGGTATTTACATTGCTTCCCTGGGAAAGAACAAGGCTGAGTTTAAACTCCTCTCTTGCAGTTTTGCAATGCACTATGAGAAGGTATCTTAAGGATCTGTCCACATTCAGACACCAATAAAGATGTGATTTTTAAAAGGCCAATAGCTGCCCAAACTATGTGACTAGTGAAGCCATGTATGAATCATTTTTTAAAGAATTGCTATAAGAAACCCACAAATGTAGCTTAAGACAGTTTTCAACAACCAACACCAAACTGATTGAGCTATTCACTTTTACAGAACGCTAGCGCTTCAGACCACGTGTGGTTTTTGAGGCACGTCAGAGTTGGGGTTATTCCGGGGTGTCTCATGTATCCCGGCTGGCAGCGGTATCGCACGGTGTCCCCGACAGAAAACTCCGTCAGATTTTTGTATTCCTTAGTTAGCTCAGCAAAGGCTAAATTTGGAGGTGCACCACAGCCACCTATCAGGAAAGAAAACACAGGGGAAAATAGAGATATCAACTACACAAAGTTGGTTTAAAAGGTCTGTTGAGTATACATAGATAAAAGTTGTCAAGCAAATCTGAAAACAAAAGGGAAGGACTGAAGGATTCAGAATTTTGGAAAGAGTAAGGGAAAGGATGAGTCCTACAGGCTTGCAATGGCAGAAATTCCCAGACTATCCGTAACTGCCATCTCGGAACCACTGTGTACCTGCACACTGAGGAAGAGGGAGGCTCCAGTTCCCAGAGTCGGTGCAGTAAATGGCAGCCTCTCCCAGGAGGCTGTAGCCAGGGTCACAGCTGTAATTTACAACCATCCCAGGAGTGAAAACCTCCAAGTCATGGCTGTTGTGATCCCCTTTGTCAATATTTGGAGGTGAAGGACATTGCACCACTACAGAGAGAGGACAAAACAAAATGAAAAAAGAGTGTGGACAGTGCAACATGCAGGAAAGATGCATGCACAAAGCCACCAAAGTGCACACCGCTCCTGCGTGTGCTGGAAGCACGCTGAGACCCGTGGGTGTCACTGGACGAGCACTTCCCCACCCCCCCAATGCGAACCCTGTGGGTGAGCAGGTTTGCCTGCTCCAGGCTCGGCCGAGCACAGGACAGACGCTCAGCCACCCACGGGTGCCCAGGAGCCGCCGCAGCAGCCAGCCCCACCTGTGCAGCGTGGGTACGGGAGGCTCCAGTTCCCTGAGGCCGTGCACAAGACAGAGGGGTCTCCGAGGAGGAAGAAGCCGGGCTGGCAGCTGTAGCTCACGGACATGCCGCTGGTGAAGTTTGCCCCGAGCTCCGCGCTGTGCATGGCATGGGCGATGACGGGAGGTGGAGGACAAGGCAGGGCTAACAGGGCAGGAGCAGAGAGCGGCATTTTAGTGATTTGGCCCACAGGAGGAGCACGTGTAACTCAGCAACAGACCATCACACCTGAAGCGACGCAAAGGAGGCAGAGAGCACGACCTCAGGGCCCCTCCAGCACAAGGACGGCGCTGAGCATCCTCTTTCTCAACCCCCACGTGCCTGCACTCACCTGGCTTGCAGGTGGGGACAGCAGGCGCCCAGCGGCCATTGGGCTGGCACTTGGCTCCACGGCTGCCCCACAGCACGTAGCCCGGGTGGCACTGGAAGGTGACGTTGGCCCCAGGATGGTACTCAGCTCTCTGTCCTTCAGCCACTTCTCCATTCTGGATGTTGGGGCTCATGCAGGTGATCACTGGAAGTGAAAAGCAGCAGAGCATGGGCTGGGGAAGCGGTCGCCAGAGCTGGGTATTCCCCCACGGTTTGCGTGAGGTGAAAATTCAGGAAAGCTGTGAGACCACGAAGGTCTCCCTTTTCTCTGCAGGCACAGCATTTACAGCTCACCTTCACACCGGGGGTAAGGGATGCTCCAGGTTCCATTGACCGTACAGTATAGAGTTGTTTCACCAATAAGAGCATAGCCGAGGTCACAGCTGTAATTTACAGACGTTCCAGGGATGAACACTTTGACATCCTCACCGTCGTGCTGGCCATGGTCAATCGTGGATGGGGAGGGACACAGCCGCCCTAGAGGGGAGGAAATCTTCACTGAGAACAGGATGGGCTTTCAGGTGTTCTGTTTGGTTTTCCTGTTTAGCGCTAGAGAACTGAGTCTCTGTAAGTACAAGCATGTGGCTGTTCACTTTTCTCCCCTTCTTTCCTCCCGTAATCCCTTTGTACCACTGGCATATAAGTGAAAAAGGCAGGTGAATGCACCTTCACACCGAGGGGCAGGGTTGCTCCAGTCTCCAGAAGAAGTACAATTTAGCTGTGCCTCTCCAACAAGAACGTAGCCAGGATTGCAGGCGTAGCTTACGGACATGCCGCTGGTGAAAACTACCATGGCTTCACCACTGTGGTTTCCGTTGGCAATGGCTGGAGGGTGAGAGCACTGCGACACTGGGGGAAGAGAGCAAAACCGGACTCAAGTCAGTACTGAGAAAAAGGAGGAATATGGAAAAATGAGTGAGTTGGTGCACAGGAACGTTGCAGCTGAGCCGCCAGTCTGTAAGAGATGGGGATGTCTTGGACAGGTCTCTCTTGGCTGCCACTCATTGTCAAAGTCCATCCAGATACTTCAGCCCTCTGGACTACTTAGCACATATTTCTGTGCACTCATCCCCAGTGAGAGCCAAAGGGCTCCTGGAGCAGGGGATGTGCGGGCACTAACATACCCCAGGCCCGCATCCTCC